TTATATATGTTATATATTATGTAGTATATATATATATATATATATATATATATATATATATATAAAGAGAGAGAGGGAGAGAGAGAGAGAGAGAGAGAGGCACGGTGGAGTAATAGATACCTGGAGGTACGGTAGAGTAATGGATAGCTGCTCAGCTCAGATTGAGGAATCGGAGAGCCGATTTCGAATTCCAGTCAAATCCATTACATTCGTGCTAATACCATTAGGAAAGGTATGAATCCTATTCTTCTCCCCCACCCCCGCCGCTATGGGTAAATAGCAGAACACACCGGGTTCTATAGCCTTGGATGGCAACTGGTCTACCGCAGAAAGAAATGACAACCTACTGCGGGAAAAAATCTGCTTCGTCAGTTATGTATCATGATCACGCATGGCATATAAATATGCCACACACACATACACAGAGAGAGAGAGCGAGAGAGAGATAAAGATAGAGAGAGAGAGAGATAAAGATAGAGAGAGAGAGAGAAAAATTTTTTTTGATGAATTCGGTTAACGAGATAATAGTTTTAAAACCATTTTTTTCCTGCGTAAATCCAAACAAAAGTACTATGAAAAACATGTGTGAAGCCAATAATTAGAGATTTACATCTTTTTAACTAAAAGTAGTGTTAGCAAATCATCAATAGTATCTCAATTTGTTCAGTGTCAAAATGTTGTCAAATGAAAATTTCTGATCCTGTATCATTTCTAAGAAAATTCGGTTTTTCTAAAAAAAAAAAAAAAATGCATAATTCTGAAAAATACATAACTCAGAAATGAACCCAGTTCACTACATTTGGTCACAGAAATGTATACAAAAATAAGGGCTTTACTGTGCAAAATTTGGAAGATTTACTTGACAGATCTTCAAATTAAAACGTGTACGAAACCCAGTATGTTTGAATTCAGTTAATATTTAAAAAACTTAACAAGAATCCGACCAACCAACTAAAATCAAAGCTTAATAAACTTATTAATGCTAATAATGCTGAACAGAACTCTTTAAAACTCCTTAAAATTGTTGATTATAGACCTGGTTACATATACGGCACTATAAAAACACATAAACCTAACTATCATATCACAAATTTTCTCCTGTATATCAGCTAACAAAATACATTAACCAAATCACTACTCCCTACCTTCCTAGTAAATATAGTGTTAAGTCAACATTAGAAGTAATCCAAATCCTAAAATGTGAAAAACCCAACAATGAAATCATAGCTTCACTTGATGTTGAAAACTTATTTACCAATGTCCCTGTTAGTGAAACTATTGACATAATTATAAGTAATATATACAGTAACTCATCTTTACCCCAACTTAAAAAATTAATCCTAATATATTGCGGAAACTACTATTAGTTTGTACTACTGAAGTCCCTTTCTTAGATCATAATAATAATAATAATAACAAAATAATTCTGTCCTTAAATTCACGTATGAACTCAATACTACTAATAAAATTCACTTCCTTGACATATTGATAAACACAGATAACAAATTTACTATTTCGCCATACAAAAAACCTACCAGCATAAATTCATGTACACTTAACTACAAGAGCGAATGCCCATATTACTACAAAATAGCAATTATAAAGAATCTAATACATCGTGCAGAAACTAATTCATCCAAAAAACAGATTTTTTACAGTGAACTAAAGAATATAAAAAAAAACACTTATTAATAATAGCTTACCAAACTATATAGTTGATGAACAAATAAGATGCTTTCCTATAAATCTCAATACTAAGCAAATAATACTGCTTCTACTAATCTCAAACATATTAATCTACTATATCGGAATCAAATGCATACTAATTATAAATAAGATGAAAATATACTAATAAAATTAGTAAATACTAATATATCTGTAACAGATCCTAGCAAAAAAATATACTACACTAAATCTAGTATATCCAACTCAATTATTCGCAATGATTCTTCTCCCCCGGTTAGCGATTTGCAAAAAAACAACATCGTTTACAAATTCAAGTGCCCTTTGGGAGGTCGTATCTCCAACGAATTAAATAATATTTATGTTGGTCACACCACAAACTCACTTTCACGACGCTTGATATTACATTTGAATGATAACTCTAACATTTTTAGGCATTTAAAACAACATGCCTGGACCCATACACAATTCCGGAAAATCCTTGTTGAAAACACAATTATACTTAAACATGAAAACAATAAACAAAAATGAAAAGAAAATTTTTAAAAATTCTTGAATCTATATATATAAAACAATTGAAACCTAACCTAAACAAAATAAATCATGAAATCTCCACAAATATTCTTAAATGCCTATAATTGGTAACAGAATCCATTGGTTTATACCAACGGCTTCCCATACTTAATACTTCTCGAATTCACTCTCGCGTGGTCATGTGTGATGTCATGAGCTGCAGTGCGATTTTCGCTTCCAGCGTCTTATATGTACGAGTCTGTCGTTGCTTGGAAATCTTCCATGCAAACAGAAACAGACTATCATCACTGTCTTGTCCGTGTATTGCTTAATATATTGTAATGTAATTGTCATCTTTGATAATGGCTTATGTAAGCCGAAAGCTCAGATAGGATTAAAAAAATATGTATCAATATTGTGATTTTCTTTCTACGTTTAATGATAATGTTATTAAGCTTATCAGACGATATGAAAAGAATTTACATAAAATAAATAGACAACACTTGTCTATATTATTTAATGAAACTTGTATCAATATATATATATATATATATATATATATATATATATATTTTGTGTGTGTGTGTCTGTATATGTGTGTGTCTGTATATGTGTGTGTGTGTGTGTGATGTTCTGAGAGAATACAAGTATAGACATTATATATCTATTGAAATTATTCATTGTCTTTTCTAAATTACAAATCACTTTTCTCAAACTTGACTGCTGCAGATGTAAAAAAAATATCCGAAATTGATTATTTTTTTAACTCACATGAGTCATCTTCAGGTGTGCGAAAATATGTTTGTGTGTGTAAAAATAATATAAGTAATTAATTAAACATTTGGCTCTAAGCTAACGATTTTCATTTAAAAGTAATGCAATAATTATTGTAAAAGTAAAAGTGGAACTGTGAATTTTTCTCATAGAATCAGGTAGTGATATATATATATATATATATACGTACGATTCTCTTGAATCTGCTTGCCAGCAGCTGTGCCCATGCAGGCATTTATAATTCTGCAATAACAGCCACATAACACAAAAGACGAGCTTACGAGCATTTGTTTACTCTTTCTATCCCTCGCATGCACAAAAACAAACACTTTGAGTTCATTAATCATCTACATTGTATCTGCTCGTCCCTCTTGGCATTTGCCATTTTTAATTCCCCATACCCATTTCCTGGATTTAAGAACAGAGAACATTGGCAGTTTATCTCTGATTTTTATCCATTTAAATCCATTCTTGAGTAAAGTATGCCTTACCAACAAATTTGTTAATTTTGTTCAGTTGCTTTATCGCTTCCTCGCTTGTTATTTAAACAAGTGAGGAAGCGATACTTTTAAAGCAATTGAACAAAATTATAGTCTTTTATGGATAAAGTAACCAGATGAAAAGAGTGAATTTTTAAACCAAAGATAATCAGAAACATGAGAAAAGAAGATACAAATGACATTATTTATTGATAAAATAGCTAACTATACAAATAGAGGAATAAAGTAATAACTACATATTCTATCTGATCACAGGTAAAAACGCGCGTGCGCGCACATGCACATACATACTATTTATTAACACACACACACGTGTGTGTGTGTGTGTGTGTGTGTGTGTGTGTGTGTGTGTGTGTGTACAACGACCTGGCACAAATAAATTATCTGTTGTTTTACACAGATCTGATATTAATATAAATATATTCGTTAAAATGTCCAACTTACTATAAAAATGAAAAATATAATAACCTCTAATACTAATATAATAATATTGTTAGTCTCTCTTATGGCAGGAGGAATTAGCGTCAAATTTGTCAAATTGTAATTGGGAATGACATATTCAGCTATAAATCTTGTGATTTTACAATTCATAGATGAATGAAATTAATCTGGAGTTGTTTGTTTCAGGTCTTCACAAGTTTGAGACATAAAAACCGAAAAAGGCTCCATTACAAGAAGGCAAATTGTAGCTGAATGTGGAGAATCAGATCAAGAATTGCAGTCGCTAACTTCTTGGATGTTAGCTACAGAAAGCCAATTATTAAATTATACAGAGAAAGTAATGCGTTGTCGAGATTTTGGATGCAATCGGATATTTGCTGCACTAAACATTTTTTTAATTTACACTTTTTTGAATAAGCTCTTCATTTATTCAATTTTCAAATCCCGAATGAGTATGAGCCTCCGAAAGGTTTCACCAAAATTTTGTTTGATTCACCTTGAGTCTACTATAAAAAAAATATCAAAATTTTAGTTATGATGTAGGTAATAATTTGGAGCACTGTTTATTAAAGGTTTCTATGGTACAAGGGGGATGAACCCCCCAAAAAAAAAAAAAAACTTGAAATATGGCTATAAATATCTAAAACCATGTGTTTAGAGCACCAACTCACTTTGAGACAGTCATGGAAGCTTATGTACAATCATATTAAAAGTACTTACCTGTGTACATTATACATTAGCAAACCGAGAGGATATTTAAGCATGCAGAAAAACACAGGTCGTTAGTCATCTACGGGAAAAAGTAAGTCGCTAAAAATCATGTCCATATCTGTTAACAATATTGTGGTGTTATTGCTGAGAATATCTGTACAGAGACTCATAGAAGCGATATCATCTACAAAGGTAGAAGATATAAATAGAAATTATTAATCTGCCAGCAACTATGTTTATTTCATGTGAATGTCTCATGAAACTGACCCCCTGAAAGTTTTTTACTTACGATCCTTTTGAATCAGACAATATTTCGCAATCACTCCCCAGGAAAAAAAAGAATGAATTAGTGCTTAGTCTTAATCTACGCCGAAACCAATGAAGTTATCTATCTATCTATCTATCTATCTATCTATCTATCTATCTATCTATCTATCTATCTATCTATCTATCTATGTGGGGGGGGGCGCAAGAGAAAGACGGAAAATGTTTTATTGTTGGAAATTGTATTTCAGGAGCTTTTAAAAAGCAGATCGGAATTATACAATTCCAATCTCAAAATCATAAAAAGTTTGCTTAGAGTTTTCAATCAAATTGCTTTTCTGTATGAACAGAGAACATATTCGTTATACATTCATATGCGTAGAGACAAACGTAATTTGGAAAATATGAAGATTCGATAGCAGAAGACAGAAAACATAAGTGGTAAAACTTCAAGTGGGTTGCTGATGTTTTATCGCTAACTTAAGCTTGATATTTGAGATGACAATATCGAATAAAAAGAAAATATCCTAAGATATTCCGAGTTTGATTATAGACTGCGCCAGAATTGATTTTTATTCATACATTATGACAAATAACAACAAAGTCTAGTGATATCGTGACGTATTGAAGCTACGCCCTTTTGTTGATGTTAATCTTTTTTTTTTTTTAACACCGGTGTTATCAGTTGATATTAGAACCAATACTCTTTCTGTGGTACCTTACGAATGTGTGTGCAAGTATAAGCATGACTATCATGATTATGATGATGTGGCGAAAAGTTTGTTTTTTTCTTTGTCCCTATCTTCTTTTTTTCAAAATGTTTTCCTCTATACGCCTCCGATTTGTATCTATCTCTTTGTTCTCTCTTTGTTGCTTTCTCTCGTACGCAATCGTAAATTAAATCAAAACATAATTATGACAACTGAATGTTCATGAAGATTGAAAATTAAACATTAACGAAAATAAAGGTGTACGTAAGTACAAGGATAATAAGTTGTTTCTAGCAATAGATGGGCAACTACTGTAAAATGATAGTAAGTTAATATACGAGATCATTTGCTAGTGCAATGATTTTGATTCTCAATAGATGTAATACACAGAAATTCACAAAAAGTACACACCCATTAAAATTATTACCTTGAATCTATTCATGTTTACACTTTCAGACATATAAATACATGCAGACATACAAACTTTCTGGATTGCTATCAAAGAAATAATGCATTTTGATGTATTTTGAATAATCCTTCATTCCTGGAGAAGCATTTGACTAAAAATGTAAACTGTTAAAGTACTTTCAATTTTTTATTTCACATGGAAATCGATCCTTTGAAATCAGTGTGTATTCAATAGGAGTGTATAGAATGCATTGAGTGCACCAGAATAAATACCCAACGATAGGTTGATCTAACTTTTATCACTCGAGGGTAAGATTTGCTAATGTCTATGTTAACACTCACTGTTGCGATAAGCTTGCGTGCTATGAACAAGAGACTCTCTTAATATATCTCGGTAAATCTAAACTCGTAGTATTTTCATGCTTCACCAGGAAAACCCATCCTACTCGATTGGTGAGAAACTTAGACGCTTGAAGATTTACATCGATCCATGAATAGGTTACTTTTATCTCGATCGCCCTTTTGTTAAGAAAATCCTTATTGCTTATTTGTAATAAAGTGGGAATCGGATAAAAATACATTTGTATTCAATTTACTCACTGGAGAATTCATCAATTCTACATTTACCTATTGACATAATTGGCCTTATTTTCTAACGAGTTCTCACTCAAGAAAAGACGTTAATTCTAACGTTGCCCATATAAACATAGGATTTTGCTCATAACATTGGTTTTGGCCAGGAAAAACCTGCCAATTTAAACAATATACTGTCCAGAGAGACGTTTTCAATTAGGAGCAGACGTTAACTCTATCGATGCTTATTTACACTTTTTGTTGTGCTTTTAGAGATGTTTTACCTAGAAGAACTCAAAACTCAAGTGTTACTTAGATTGTTATAAACATTTGCGTGTCCATTCTTATATACGTTTTCACTAAAAATAATTCCTTATATTATTGGGCGATGGAGTACTGCCAAGAAAAAAAAACTTAAAAAGAACATTTTTAATTTTGGGGTAACGTTGTTTTCTTATATCTTTGTGAAAGCCTCAAGAATATGTTTGAGAAAGCCTTCAGAGAAAACTGTTTAGTGTGATCATCCGTATCACGTTATGTTATGACTGAAGACCAACAGTATGTCAGGATTTCGAATGCTAATTGTCTAAGCAGGAAAACTCTTCCCATTGCAATTATTAATATAAATTCTTGCCCCACGATTCCAACAATATGCATCTCGAGAAGTATATGTCTGAAAATGTTCGTTTCTCTTAGTACAATTAAGAGACAAAAAGTTAGTTGGCAATACGAAAATGCCACGAGTTGGCAATACAGTAGTTGGCAATACGAAAATAAGTAAAAAATAATAACAGTGTGTATCGCTTCACACTTATCAGAACTCGATCGAGGAAATTCTTTTTTGTGTACAATCGACTAAAAAGGGAAACATGAAAAAGAAAATAGACGCGTATCAATAATATATTGAGGCAGTTATATTTTTATAAACGAATCACATTCAGTATTTACATTAGTCGGGCTATTGTCCTCATCTTTGTCGCCATATTTGTCACAACGTTTCGGCCGAAGAAGGCCGGAGCGTACAACGGCCGAAACGTTGTGACAAATATGGCGACAAAGATGAGGACAATAGTCCGACTAATGTAAATACTGTACATAATACCTCATCTCAGAAATATAGACAGACTCTGAATCACATTTAGTTCTAACCATTTTTTTTCTATTTACATAAGGAAGATTGTCTTGATTTGATTAAAAACTTTTAAATGAAAGTTAGAATCTGGCCGACATAAAATTGAGAACATGTCCTCTTGGAATTCTTTTTACTTAGGGAACTGTGCAATCTTAGCACTAATTCTAGATTTCACTACGTCTAGATGATAGCTATTACAACAAAATTTTTACTTAGATTCAAATTCCTGTTCTAATTAATTTGCAGAACAGATCAATAAGGTTTGAAATACTAAGGTTTTTATAAGATTAATTTTATACCGTCTATGAAAAAAATGAATCCCAGCGTAATCAAGTAAACATGAGTGTTCCGGTACACAGATGTAACAAATTTTTGTGCATATATTTAAGTCCCATTTTGTCCATATGGATTATTGTCGATGCTAATGAATCCGCTACCATATTGTTTGATTTTCACATAACCATAGAATGCAGAGCCTTGTGCACTGGTTCTTTATCCACTGACTCATTGATTTGTGTTTCAGTTTTGACCAGTCAGAAGGTTCCCCATCTTTAACTATACTACCCACATATAAATTTAGTTTTATTTCGGTATATTTATTGGGCCACAAAAATAGTAGTCCTTTGTCTTGATTATTTTGGTGTCTGTCAGTTCTATTCGATTTGTATTCAAAACTTTATTATTAATATGGATTTATTTATCACAAACTCCGATCCCATGTTATCACTGTAGATATTAACTATTTTTATTAATCTTTCCATTTTTTTCTTTGCTCTTATTAGGTTGTTTGGAAAATAATGCCCGATTTTAGAATAAACCTTTTGTGTTCTGATATATTATTATTATAGTTTCAAAAACTATATTACTCATTACTAACTATTTTTGTGTGCTCTTTGTTAATTTTATATCAATCTCTTTCAGAATTTAAATTAAAATATTATGTACCCCTAATTTTGAACATAAAAAAGAAAAGATGCATTTAGTGTTTTTTGCATGAATTCTAAACTGCTGCCGTTTAACAGGTGAAGGATCCACTTGTGTTCGTACAGTAAAGCAATGGTTTCTTGAAGATCAAATTAGTAAAAGACGTCCATTTGCAATTGACATTCAACATTTGAAAACATAAGTCGAATAAAACTCACGTCAGTGTCAAAGAAATGTCTCAGAAATGAATGTCAGCATTTCAACAATATCGAATCATCTCGAGAAAATTGGCAAGATGAAGAAACTCGAGAAATGTGTTTCACATGAACTCAGTGAATGTCAAAGAGTTCGATGTTTTGAAGTGTGTCTGATGCTTGATGCATTTGCGAAATTCGAACGATCCATTTCTTGATTGAATAGTGTATTGTGGTGAGAAATGAACCCTTTATGAAATTCATAAAAGATTAATCAATGGCATGATCATGACGAAATTTCAGCAATAATTAAAATATTTATAAATAAAAGATTATGATGATTGTCTTGTGTAGAGTAGTTTAGTTATGGAGAAGAGGAAAGATTATGTATTTATCTTGTTTTGTTATGTATTTTTGTTACTCTGGTACGAATTTTGAAATATCCTTTAATCTCTTCTCTCTTAGGTATATGCTACTGTGACTTTAAGAAAGTTAAAAGTTTACTGAGTCATGAACAACCAATTAATTAGATACATGTTACTCTGGTTGTAATTATACGGTCACACGTAATCTGACTATATATATATATATATATATATATATATATATATATATATATGTGTGTGTGTGTGTGTGTGTGAAATGGAGGTAGGAGTTATCAACTCATTCCTGAGAAGTCGTCCTAATACACTCTTTTCCGAGTAGGTCCTTTAGTCCTCCTAAATGAGCGATCTTGTCACGGCTTCTGGGCTTTCCACCAGGAACGATGTTTCCGACTCAAGAAGTTCTGCTGCTTCGATTCCTGGGTAAACGTCATGGTTTAACTTCGTTGGTATGCATGTAATTTCTTCTCAGTTCTGGATTATTTGTCTCCTCATCAAGGGTTACTGGAGGTGAACACATCTTTGAGCTGACGTTATCCGCCATGTAATTTTGTTTTCTTTAAAATTTAAGGAAAAATTTCTAATTTGAAAGAAGTGTTGTTGCGACAAACTGACTAAAATTAATATATAGATATTACTAAAATTAATTAAAAACCTTGGACTAAAATGAATTTATAGATATTTATTAAGATTGACTTAATCTATTTGAGAGACAGTTTCCGTTACACCAAACTTTGAAGATTTGAATCTTGAGAATCAGCATTCGAAATCTTGACTTTAACTTGGGATGTGAACAATAACCACCTGAAGATTTGATGAAATATGCTACACACCAAACCCACCCATCAAGTAGTTATATTAATTAATCTTAGACTATTCTGGTGCAAGGTCTAGATTAATCAGTGAAATCTGAAGTCACTATACAATAGCTAGTTCCAAACACACATATTAGTAATGGTTTGCTCGACTAGCTAGCTCACTATGACAAGGCTTCGAATAATTTTCATTTTCTATTTTCTAGAAATAGAAATAGAAATACATTTTATATGTAATATCATTAATATATATATATATATATATATATTGATCTAACATCGATTTAAAAGTTCAGTTTTTAGAACTGAACCACCAGACTGCTCACACCTATAATTTGATTATAGTGGTGTTAAGGCTTGTGTAGAACCAGTCATATTTTTCAAAACGACATAATCCAAAGAGTGCTAAGAATTCTACAAACAGGTTTGAATTCAAATTTTTTCTTTCTCCTCGACCGGTTATATATATATATATATATATATATATATATATATATATATATATATATATATATGGAGAGAGAGAGAGAGAGAGAGGGAGAGAGAGAGAGAGAGCAGTCTGTTCTGCTATTTAATCCATAGCTTTCCGAACCTCTAGCTGTACAACATGGGAAACTCACCCAGTCCGGACAATGGTACTATCGAGATATCGATAGCTCTTTCTCGATTCGGTAGTTGAATAGTTTTCCACTTTCTTATTACATCTACACTCTTGTTCGGATATTATTATTTATCCTGCTAATACCCATATATATATATATATATATATATATATATATATATATATATATATATATATATATATATGTGTGTGTGTGTGTGTGTGTGTGGGTGCTGTGTGGGTCTGGGTGGGTGTGCAAACTTATTCACAAAAATATTTTAATGAAATAGATAAAATGACTGCGTGTTAAATGATATGGTATTTTTCACGGCAAATTGTTTCTTTAAAGTAGGTTTCAAAAAGAAAGACAAAATAATGTCTTAAAAGTAAAAATGAGAAACATTATCAAAAGCAATAGCGCCGTGCTGTCCAAACGATGACATATGTTTCAGATTTCACTCACGAAGACAATTAGCAATAGTGAAAGAATTACAAGCCATAACAAGAGGTAGCTAGATGTTCCCCTCATTAGTTTGGAATAAACAATAATTAAACTATATATACCTGTAAAACACACATACTGAACGCTCAGAAAATTAAATACTCATATTTAATTCCATTGCAGAAGTTATATAAATCAAATTAACAACGTCAGATAACATTGTTTTCAACATAATCACTACCATTCGTTATATATTTCTTTCACTGATCAATAAAAACAAGTATATTGAAAAATTAAATATAAGAAGCGGTTCATTTTTCAATTACAGCATTGTTGTTACTGTTAAACCTTATTACCCATAGTCTGACTTTGATCATTTCCACTGTTTGGTCTCCACAAAAGTTCAGCAAACTTCGATGAATGCCAATGGATGCAGTTGTTTTTGCCGAGAAAATTCAGTGGCACAAGTGCATTTTCACGATAAGCGTTATTTTCAAACTGTTCCATAGCAACTATCTGAAAGGAAATGTGGGTTATTATTGGGATGGTTCAAACTCTACTGTCATACCACTAACGTCTGCCTCTGTCATTGTGGGTCAACATAATTAAATAGGAGGCATTACTTTCGGAACGTATTTCATATGCATATATATATATATATATATATATATATAGGGAGAGAGATAGAGAAAGAGAGAGAGAGAATTTTATCCATCAAATACATGTACATATTCTTCTTGTGTGTACGCATGTGTGGCTGAAAAAATAAAACTTATGGCTATCTATGATGACACAATTTTATCTTCTTGTATGAATAATTCTTAGTAAATTGGTGGAAGTGAAAAAAGCATGAGAAAAGTTAAAACTGTTAGAGAGTCTGAAAAGGTGGTTCCTTGCAAAAATCGAGTGGTATATCGAATGGAACGTTATCACTACATATTAACCTAGTTGTATTTTCGGGCCATTTTGCAAGTAGAAACAATGGTAACGATGTTACTGCTCTTCTTGGTGATGATGACTGCAGTAATGATGATGACGAATTTAGCTTGTAAAAAGATAATGTATCTGTCGTATTTTTATATTTCAAATAATGCAAATACCAATGCCTGCATGTTCATACATTAACATAGGTCATTAAAAACACATTGATGAATAAAAGAAAATAAAAACAGTTTTATGTAAATGAGCATATCGATTTTATGAGTGAACAAGTACTCATTTTTGTTGCCTAACAAATGCATCTTTTTTGGACTGGTGTAAAGGCAAAATTAAATCGATGTTTTGTTGAATTTTTATTGATAAATTTTTTTCATATATTTAGAAGCAGCGTCTTTGGAATTTACCTGTAAAAAGAATTATCACAACGAAAAATCAAATCAAATTACTCACAGAATAATCGTAAACTTTATCTGAGGTTTTAACGTGTTGATGGGTGGAATGAGGCTATTAAAAATGGAAGCCAATAGTTAAGGAGAAGGGCAGGAGGGCTGTACCTAAACTTACCTTTAGGGTTTCATATAGCCGTATGATGTTTGGATGACGTAATTGTCCTAGTATCCTAGCTTCACGATGTAAGTTATTCCGCATATATTCCTCTTTAAGTTTTCTAGTATCAATTATTTTTATAGCCACCTACAAAAAATACAAAAGATAAATTAGTAATAAACGAGTAAACGAAAAGATTAGAGAAGATTTTTGCACAGGACTAAGATGAAAACAAATGTAAACGAAAATACATTGAATAGATTCAAACAAAGAAAAAGAAAAGATATCTATTGGAACTTTTATTGGAAAATCAATAAGAATGTAGAAAAAAATGTAATTAAAATTTAAATTAAGAAATATTTTCTTTACTGGTTATTACAGCTTGTCTCGCAGCAGAAATCACTAGTATTTGGTTGTGCTTGAATACAGTTTGATATCAATTCGTTTTATCCATATTTGTATGCCAGTTTATGTTACTACATCTTAGTTATTTTCTCTTTCTGTCTTTCTCCCCATCTATCTATCTATCTATCTATCTATCTATCTATCTATCTATCTATCTATCTATCTATCTATCTATCTATCTATCTAAATCTGACTTTAGTGAAAAATCCCAATTTAAGATATCTGCATGTATGTTTACAACTTTATCTTCAATTATAAACTTTCATCTCATTATAACTGTGATTAATCAGGTGAAATATAATCAAAACTCGCTTGTTATTCTCTTTTTGGAATTGTATCTAAAAATAAGAGAAATTTAACTAGAAGACGGTTACCTGAACCCAGAAAATGTGTGCATTAGTTAAAAGTAAAAAGAGTAAAAGTAAAAATAATCTAGAAAAAAGACCCACTAGAAAGACTTTGTAATAATAGTATCGTAATGTGTCCAAAATTCAAGCTTGATGCACAAAATGGAAAAGGAAAGTTTGCAACTATTGCAAAACCTCTGCTTTTCACCACGCCAGTCCTTTCATTAGTTTGCAAATTTGTTTCAAATAAGTTCTTTTTTTTGTCTATTTTCGTTTTTATCACTAAGTATTTGGCCAACATATTCTTCACCTTTCAAACAGAATTGCAGGATGTTTGAAGCAAGAATAATATGTACGTAGCTATATCGCTAAAGAAACTTCTGTAGGACAATGTAGTTCAAGTTTCAAGTGGTTTGAATCTAAATATTCAGCAATAGCAATATTATAATGATGATGACGACGACGACGACGATGATGATGATGATGATGATAGAATAAGTGATGTGACACGACCATCAACATTAGTACTACAGTGCACTTTCTGTTCTTCCTCTCATCTATAAAATAAGTAAAACAACCGGTATTTTAGACAGCACGGAAGCTGGGTTTTCCCTGTTGTAGCATAAATTTTTTCTCCCTCAATACATAAAAATATATTTTTTAACCAAAGAAATAGCTAATTTGTGTCACCTTATCACCACGTGCGTTTAACAATTTGGACTTATCTTGATAGGTAACGTTTTTACCAGTAGTGAACTCGTGAGAGAAAGTAACCTTAACACTTAGCCTTTATTTTAAGTTAGCTATTCTGGACATATATGATAATTTCCATTTGTACTTTCATTTATATTTGAACACACACACACAGACACACACACAAAATGCATAATAGTTAATTGTCGGTGGTCATCAATAAATTTATGACATATATGCGTTTGTATGTGTACATATATATATATATATATATATATATATATATATATATATATATATATATATATATATATATATATATATATATATACATATGTATGTATCAGATTTTATTGATGACCATATATACATATAATATATGATGCATATATATATTATACATAAATATATATATATATGTACACTCTGATAATACAAATCATTTATTAACCAATTGATATTGTTAAACTTTTCAGAATATATATATGCACACAAAATGTCAACTGAGTTTTAGCTATCTCTATTAAAACATTTATAACTTTTTGTGGGTGTTAAATTTCTTCTGCAGACAAACTACTTGCAAACTGAATTTTTATTTATAATTAAATTCAAAAGGAGTCGGCCATAATATTTACCACAATACCCCATATATCTGAATAAATTATTATTTTTTATTTTATATGTGTATAAGTTCTTGACATCTTTTAACCTTCATCACTCATGTATTTTATTAACTTTTATACTTTTCCAACTTTAGCATTACTTGCAGGAGCTTTTTTTATGTTTTTTTCTTTATCATATATGTTTCTTTTAATGATGGACCACAAGTTTTTTATTGGATTAATATCGGGAGATCTTAAGATAATCTTATTAAATCTCTAAAACCTTTTTGGTAAGGCAGGCAACTTTGCAACATATGAAAATGCAGTGTCTTGCATTAATATTTTCTTTAGCTTAAAGTTTCTTTGTTGCAAAAAATGTATTGTCCAACTTATAATAATTGTCTGCATTTATTTTGATACTGTCATCGACTTGGGGGGGGGCGTATAATTCTACAATCCACAATCTACTTTCTGCATGTTTTCTTCTTGTTACATTCGCAACATTAGTTTCTTCAAATGTTTTCCTGTTATAATTATCGTGCTCATGTTTTAAATATATTTTGGTAGTTTGGTGATGGCTTTTAAAGTTTTTCACAAATTACAACGTTGTGTTTCCATCACATAATATCTTTACAATATCATTTTTCTCTTTTGAGGGTATATCTTCTTTACGAGTCATGGTAATCTTTATATAACTGAAATTAAAAATAAATATCAATAATTATACTGTTATATTTATATTTATTTACAATAGGATGAACAACATTCGAATTTCGCATCCCCTATTTTAAATATTTCTGTTATAAACAGAAATTATAAGGTGACATTCACATGGTATATTTATTATATACATATTTCACGAAGATCTTTCCAACACGAGTTGGTTAATACTAATTCTACAGTGAAAATCTTCATTTTATAATAAATTCTGTTATGTATGTATATATGCTGATGCGTGAATACATGTTCTCAAATGTATGCATATATGCTGATGCGTGAATACATGTTCTCAAATGTATGTATATATGCTGATGAAGAAGCATTAAAGGTAAATAATTTCCATCCACGCGCATGTCTGTATTATTATATTTCTGTACATGGATCAGGTATTAAACCAATATACGTTTCAGTAATTAAACATATTTACGCTTGCTAAATAAGAGAGAGAGAGAGAAAATCCCTAAGAATAGCTAGTGAGATGAGTTAACTGACAAATGCACTATGTCCGTAGTATACTGATGAAAAAAGGCATTTATTTTACATAGCATATTTGCCGATGTAATCTTATTTCGTGTAAATCCACTTAACCCAATGGTTTTAGATTAATCATACAGGTCAACCATCTTACAATGAACATTCTTAGTAAAAATTAAGTTAATAAATGTCAGCCTGATGACCTATTGATCGTAAAATGACATGGAGACAGATAAATGATAGGTGGTTATTTTATATATATATATATATATATATATATATATGTGTGTGTGTGTGTGTGTGTGTGTGTGTGCGTGCGTATGGGTGTGTGTGTGTGTGCGTATGGGTGTGTGTGTGTGTATGGGGTGTGTATATATATATATATATATATATATATATATATATATATATATATATATACATACATATATATATATAATGTATATGCGTGTCTCTTCTTTTTATGTGTTTGTGTAATATCCGTGTGATGTGCAAGCACATTTGCTCAAAATAAGTTTCTAGAAAATGGCATTTCTAATTAGAATTGAATCTACCGATTAAAAATCACTGTCTCAAGCCCCGAGGGTAAATTTGAAAAGAAACGATTTCTCTTGTCCTCATTTCCACTAAAAAGGCAAAAGGCTTAGAATAAATATAGTTCTTGTTTAAATAAAAATACATTTACACATGATGATTTAGAAAATCAGAACTAAAACAAAGAATACTCCAGATTTGTTTACAAAAGGAAGACGTAATTTTTCATACATTTAAAACTCAACAAACATGGATTCTCCTTCACTCTATATGGGAGAGCCGGACACATAAATCGAGCACAGAGAAAAATTAAATCAGAACTGAAAAGGAAAAATAAGTGTAGAAGGAATAAGAGTAAAAAAAGAGAGTGTAAAAGACAGAAAAATACCATTTATACGAAACTGTCATTTTTTTCTGTCTATTTTGTCATTATAATTTTTATGGAATGGAAAAACAACAAAAAATTATGTTGTGCTAACTTTTATGTGTAGCAGCCACGAAGTCATTCTTAAAATGTAATCCTTAATACTAGAGTTTTGGAAACAAATAGCAGAAATGATTTGATTATAAACAATAATGTAACTCAGACAATAAAATCCATTGCAAAGTTGTTTATCAAATAAGAATCTAATTTTATTGGCATAATCCTTAATTTTATTCAAGGAATTCTTACAAAAACATCTTTACGAGCACATTCATTTGTATAAGTATTTGCAAAACTTGGCATATTCTTACAAAATGCATTTCACTTTCTTTCTTTCTTTCTTTCTTTCTTTCTTTCTTTCTTTCTTTCTTGTTCTCTCTCCTCCTCTGTATATGACACAAACCAATGACAACGGAGCATCCCGTATACATACAACCCACAGACGTTGCAAAACGAGCTTTCCAAATACAATATTTCTGTAGTAGGTATTTGCAAGAGTAAGCCAAATTGGCAGAAGATCCTCGTAGGTGAGCGATGGATTCACTGTAATTTGCTTCAAGCAAGTAACTACTCCACTCTTTTTGTGTGAATGCGCATATATATAATATATATATATATATATATATATATATATATATATATATATATATATATATATATCGACTTAATACTGTTAAAATATGCTTAAAAAAAGGTTATTTTCTTGGAAAGTAACATGGATAACACTAAATATTTTGGCCGTCCAGAAGAGAGAGTTAGTTATCTCAAAACTGACGTCATACTATTGAGTACAGTAGATATATTCTCTTCTAAATGGCGGCTTCTAGTCTAAATCTGACCGAGGTAATCCTAGTACTTAGTACAATTTTGTATAATTTTCAACAATACTTTTTGTATTCAGTACGTTAGTATCGGTTCAGCTGTTCTACTGAAACCTTGATATTTACAAGATAACTTTACAATAACTTGAAATTATTCATAAAGTCTGATAAGGAATCGTGTGTTAATAGTAAAAAGTACTGGTTTCAGTGTATAATGACTAAAATTACAATTTCAAAAAAATGCAAAAATAGAAGAAATATTTTGTAGTATATTTTCCGATTTTGAGAGAAAGGTGTTTTCTCCAAGGTGTGTAAAGTTAAAACATATTTTTACCTTTTCTTTCCTTGCAAAATGTAAGCTTGAAAACCCTAACATTCTATGCTAATATTTAACCTTGAATTTATTTTCTCAGAAGACTTTTGATACGATTAATCTTCCGATTATTCTTGTTGGCATTATTGTGTGTTTTTTTAATTATCATGCACGTTTAATTAAAAAAATATACTATAAAAAGTAAAATAAGATTTCAACGCGCAGTTGTTATCAGAATATCGGAAGCACTAAATTAATTAGAATATTACAAATTTTACGAAACCAAGCCTCGTTATGAATTATCGAATGTATGCTCATTTATAGACCAATTCTTGAACAGAAACCATATTAGTGAAGAACCTACGTCTTTTAATGACTGGAACGCAGCGCTTATTCCTAGTCTTTAGCAATTTCGTGAAATTTTAATAAATGATCATAAGATAACTATCAAATATATGTTAAAATTAGATACAATGAATACTGAAAAATTCTTAGCAACTTCTCAAAATCTGACCAAATATCAAGATATTAAGATTTTTAAAAATCTCTATTTTTGTTTGTGTCAGCAGTATCGCGTATATCTATATCACAACTGTGATATTATAAAATTTAAGTAGTCGTGCATGTGTACACCTGTTTTTAAATGTATATAAAAATTAGTTTGTTCATAGGTTGATATTCACTAGAAATTGTGCGAATAAAGTTTAATAAAAGTTCTCGATTACATGCCTTCAATCTTTTGAAATAAGGTTTCTGTAGTATCATTAGTGGGAGTGCGCAGTAATTGTGAAAAACGGGTCATTTGGAAGGGAAGGAGATTGAACGGGTCAGTTGAAAAGAAGTTTAAATTTATCTATAATGGAATGGTCGCATGGGCTCATATTTATATTCATTACATACATACTAACATACTTAATTAGGAAAAACAAAACAAAACAGCAAAAAGAGAAACAAAAAATATTGAAAAGTTTTATTAAAATAGATTATAGTTGTATTTTAAATAAAGAGATCTACCTATTTTCAAAACCAGCGTTCGAAATACCGTTCTTAAGGTATATCAACCAATGGAGCTGTAAGAAAACTGAGCGCAGTTTCAGTAACCAATTAGGTTATGACAGATATATATAGAGAGATAGAGATAGAGATAAAGAAAGAAAACGAGATAGATAACCACAGTGAAATAGAGAATTATCTTATTTACGAATCCTAAATATGGACAACAAATATGCACACACACACACACACACACACACACACACATATATATATATATATATATATATATATATATATATATATATATATATATATATATATATATATTTAACATTTCTAACGAAATTTACCTGTAATAAGAGAATAGTCGCATGTGCTCATATTTATAATCTTTATGCCTATTTAATGATACATACATAAATATATACGTAAGCAGCTCTTGCAATAGCGTGACATTTTAGCTTACTACTGCTTGTGATTCTCTCTGTGGCCTTGTATCAGCCAAGTTTATCTCTGTATATATATATATATATATATATATATATATATATATATATATATATATATATATATATGCAATGCATCAATGTTACTATTACTATTTGTATAAAAAGCTAATATTACCTTGCAAGATGGTCTCACAAAATATTACTAATGCGAAGTACTAGTTCGACCCTACTACTGCTCTCTATACTTATGACCTTGTGTTAGATTAAGTTTAGTAAAGTGTAGCCATCGGTGATATGTGTGATAGACACAAACACACAGACAGATGTCTACACAAACTCACATATCCAAAGTCTTAAATACACACGATCATTTCTAACCAGTGTACAAATAACAAATAATTTA